AAAAAAAAAAAAAAAAAAAAAAAGGTGATTAAGAGAAGGAGCCACAAAAAGGTGACTTGAGAATCCCGATCGGCTTTATGAAGTAATGGTGAAAAGCCTTCATCCACTAAAAGGAATAAATAGGATGAGAGAGGATCTCCTAGGCGTAGACCCCGAGTAGGAGTGATGTTAGATCGCTCCGTTATTGTAATGACCCTTTGTGGCTAGTGGCTTTTTTGGCTGAATTATGAATGCAATTCTAGAATTTCTCAGAAAGAAAAAAAAATTAAACATATTATAATATGAGTGTATGTCATAATTGATAAGTCATGAATATGGTATAGTATTAATTGTGAAAAAAAAGGTATAGTATTAATAGATACAGGTGTTATAATATAAATAGATTGGTAAAATGCAAGGGCTTGTAGCTCAAGTGATAATCGTCACACCGAAGAATTTCTAAAAAATATAACCTCGTAGCATATATAAGAAAATTTTCTCAATGTGTCCCTCACCTCACACCTCCTTGTGTTACTAGTTCTTTTCTTCTTCTTTTTTTGTCGAAATATTGTGTTACTAGAACCACATGATTAATTTATTAAGGACCTAGGGTATAGTATTAAATAAGAATGCTTTCATTCACACCTCCTTGTCATATTTTCCCACACACTATTTGATGAAAATTTTAATAAGCAATTTGAGAGAACCTGGACGCTTAGACGTCTAGATTATATTTGGTAGCTTAAGAAAATTAACATACATTATTAATATTGCTTAAGAGTTGAAAGGGGTACAGATCATTGGCTTTATCTGAAGTCCTGCAATATAAGGAAACAAGTAATGGTAGTAACTTTTGTTTTTACTGTATATATGCTATATACATCAGAATAAGTTATAAAATTTTGTTTGTATATTTAAGCATATTTTTAATTTCTTTTATTTCTGAAGAGAAAAAAAAATTGTATTTTCCAACAAGATACTAGCATGTCCCTGTCATATTTCAACTAGGTGAATAAATATTGGAAGAAAAACATCGTGGGAATGACTGATTCCGACTCTTAGTCCTTTCGGTTAATTCTTATTGTTCTGATTATAAGTTAGTAAACGTGTCATTACTATCTAAAGGATCACTAAATATTATTCCCCCAACATGACATGACATGACAAATTAAGCTTTGGATTAGTACCCAAATGCCAAAATGTGACTTCATAGTTAGTAGCATATCCTTTGATACTCAGAAGGCTCAATTAGTCTTACTCAACATTAATGCCATTTAACAAACTTGAACAAGCAGGAAAGCAGAATGCTGGTAGAAGTTAGGGAAGTGGAAAGTCATTGAATGAAAATAGATACCATTTGAACTGCAAAGCCGGTGAGCAATCTTAATGAAGTTGACATCAATCCCTCAATTAATAAATAAGTGCAAGCACATGAGCCTCCTAAACAGTTCATCTAACATACTATAAATAACAAGGTTGCTGGAACTGATAAAAAGCACCAAAGCCAGCTTAACCAACTTGTAAAAGTTGGATTTACTACTTCTATACCATTTTAGTGTTGCAGGGTTTTTGAATGCAGACCCGTCTAGCTTTCCAAAGGGCCCTTCTGGGTCTCTGGTTGTGCTTGTTTGCTGTAAGCTTCTGCTACAGCAATGCAGAGACTATTGAGGAAGCTGGAGAACAAGCACTAGACAAAGCTTATTCAGGTGAGATATATAATATATATATATATATATATATATGTATATATAGAGTTCTTCTTTCATCGGACATCCACACATTATTACCTTGCGGATGCCATTGTAAACATGGAGTAGGACAAAGAGGGGTAGTAGAAAATACATGGCATATGCACGGTAATAACATCTAGAGGTCCGCATGGGAGAAAACCTGTGTGTATATATATTTTTATATGTGTGTGTATGTAATTATATATTAGTCTTAGTGTGATCAAATAGTTCTTGTAGGCTACTTGATTACACAACAAATTTTCTTTTAGAAGGAAGCTACTTAGGCTACTTGACAGCTCTAGCAATGTAGCACAATACAATAACAAAAGTTACAAAACAGACCCCTTCATTGCTCCTCATTATTTTGAAATACTTACTGAATTCTCTAGGTTTTGTTATTTTTTTTTTTGTTAATTGTTTTTCTGATAAGTAACATTCTTCTGCATCTCTTTGTGCACATGTCCAATTGAAGAGCTGCAAACAGAGGCTGCAGAGCTCAATGAAGAAGGGAAGTTTGTCTTTAAGAAACATCCTCCACCTAAGATTCCCATTGTAAAGAAGCCATTTCCACCAAAGCCCTTCTTCAAGAAGCCACTTCCACCACCAGTTCCAATCTTCAAGAAGCCACTCCCTCCACCTGTTCCAGTCTTCAAGATTCCACCCTTCAAGAAGCCGGGTCATCCGCCGATACCAGTTGTGGAAGGAAAACCATTTGTAAAGAAGCCATTTTTTCATCCCCTTCCAAAATTCAAGAAGCCATCTCTACCTCCTGTTCCAATCTATAAGAAGCCACTTCCTCCACCAATTCCCGTATACAAGAAACCATTTCCCCATCCTATTTTCAAGAAGCCACTTCCTCCACCCATTCCAACATTTCCTCCACATCCTTTCCTTGGGAAGCCACTCCCTCCTCTGGTTCTCCTGATATTTAATTACTAAACTCATTCTTATGTGTGAGGAAAAGAGTAAGGGGTTATGCACATAAATGTGTCCAAAACATATTTCTATAAATCTACATTGGATTAGTTTCCCTTCCAGTTCACTATAATTTGATTTTAAATCAGTTTCTTAGTGCATAAATTACTTAATTCTTTCAAGTTTATTAGGGTTTTTACACTATTAATAGTGGCACGTTCGCAATTCATTCAATCTCAAGCCTATCTCTAAAGCTTGGATATTTTAGGGTAAACATAAAAAATAAAATAAAAAATTATTCGCAATAGGATACTAGGTAAAACAAAAATTGGAAACAAATAATGGTGACTCTAGTGGGAATGACTGATTCCGACTCCTCACTTTGGTTCGTGCTTGTTCTGATTACAAATTAGTAAACATGTCATTTCTAACATGGAGTAAGAGCTTGGATTTTATGATTCTAAAGGATCACCAAATATATTCCCCCCAAAAGCATGACATGACAAATTAAGCTTTGGTTAGTATCCAAATGCCAAAATGTGTGACTTCATAGTTGGTAGTAGCTTCCTTTGATACTTCTTAGTCAGCATTAATGCCATTTGACGAACTTAACAATCAGAAAAGCTATGTAGGTAACAGTTGGGGAAGTGGAAACTCATTGGATATGAAAATAATAAATACCATTTGAGCTGCAAAGCCAGTGACATGTTGCCTCTATGTACTAAAATCCTTTTCAATCTTAATGAACTTGATATCAAGCCCTTAATTAATAATTAAGTGCAAGCAGACCAAAGCCTGCTAAACAGCTCCTCTAACTTACTATTTATAACAAGCCTGCTGCAACTGATAAAAAGCACCAAAGCTAGCTTAATCAACTTTTAAAAGTTGGATTAAGCACTTTTATAAGTGGCAGCATAAGAAGGGTTTTCAAAGCAGACCCGTCTTGCTTTCCAAGGAGCTCTTCTGGGGCTCTGGTTCTGCTTGTTCGCGGTAAGCTTCTGCTACAGCAATGCAGAGACTGTTGAGGTAGCTGGAGAACGAGTACTACTAGACAAAGTTTTTTCAGGCGAGACATATATTTATATGTGTGTAATTATATATTAGTCTTGTGATCACATAATGATAAGTAACATTCTTCTGCATGTCTTGTGCACATGCATGTCCAAATTGAAGAATTCCAAACGGAGGCTGCAGAGCCCAATGAAGAAGGGAAGTTAGCAGTGCTTCCACCAAAACCCTTCTTCAAGAAACCACATGTACATAAGATTCCCATTGTAAAGAAGCCATTTACACCAAATCCCTCCTCCAAGAAACCACCTCTACATGAGATTCCCACTGTAAAGAAGCCATTTCCACCACCAGTTCCAATCTTCGAGAAGCCACTCCCTCCACCAGTTCCAATCGCCGGTGCCAGTTGTGGAACGAAAACCTGTTCAAATCTATCAGGATCCAGTATATGCGGCGCCACCACTTCCCCCTTCTGTTTTCAAGTAGGCCTCTTCCTCCACCCATTCCGAGATTCAAGAAGCCTTTTCCTCCACATCCTTTCCTTTGTAAACTACTCCTTCCTCTGTTTCCCTAAAGCTAGCCTAGTGTTCTTTCAACTATAACAATATTGTTAAGGGATGAAAGCATAGAAGTTATGTATTGGTATAGAATAAGGGTTATTTATTTAAATGGTCCTCAAACTTATACCCGATTTATATTTTGGTCCTTCAACTAAATTATTAGTTCAAATGGTCCATCAACTCTATATTATTAGGTCCATTGGTCCTAAGGTTACAATATGTCAATGTTGCTGTCAAATATAAGGGTAAAACAGTTCAAATATAAATTTTTTAAAAAATAGTTTTAAAATAAAAATAAAACCTCTCATTCTCCTTCTCTTCCTAACCCAACCCCCACACACAGTTCCCATGGAGCCAGAAATTTAAGTGAGAGGGGGCACATTTAAAAATTCAAACTCTTTTTACTTTCTGTATAAATAACCTAACATTCATTCATGATAATAAAATATATGCAACTCAAAAGAAATTTAGACTTAAAAATAAAAGAGAAAACAAAGAAAAAGGGACAATTTAAGAATTTAAGAGGAATTTCATAATATTTGTATAATATTACTATAACTAAATATCCATACAACAATATTTGAGGAGGGGCACATGCCCTCCCTGGGCATGTATTGGCTCCGCCACTGGTGAGCAGCACATGCTACATTTGTGGGGGTAAATAAGACTTTTGACCTATGTATCACCCCTTTATCACCACTTTATCACCTATTTGGGGAACATAAGAAAGTTATAGACGGTTTTACCCTTACATTTGATGGCAATATTAACATAATTTAATGGTAGGGGTCAATGGAGCGATTAATATAGAGTTGATAGACCATTTGAATGAATAATTTAATTGAGGGACCAAAATGTAAATCAGGTATAAATTTGAGGACCATTTGGGTAATTTACCCAAAATAAAAATAACCTATCTCTCCCCATCTACTCCCAAGCTCGCCCCAACCTTAAACAACCAAGAGAAAGATTGGCCCAAGAAGCCAAGAACCCCTTCGTTGTTTATCTCTGCCTAAGAAGCCATTGAAGATATAGGCTATGGGGAGGACAAGGCCTATGACGCCGCCAAAGATTGGGCCAAGTCTGACCATTTTGCTTTGTGGGTTGAAGAGTTCTGTGCCTGAGATGGGTCTTTGGAAATTGTTGGGAAGGAGAATTTGGAGAGGATAAAGATGTAGAAGATGGAGAAGAGAACAAAGGCCAAGCCTTGAAGGCTGACCATGGTTTGGCCCTTTTCGAGGTTGAGGTATTTTAGAGAACTTGCAGGGACTTCTTCATTTTGAATGATATTGTGATCTTAATTAAAAGCCTTGCAGACCTGTGGAACATTCATTTCTGTTTTCTGTTGGTTGTTTGAAGTTGGGGTGGGCTTGAGTGGGTGGGGTGGTGGTTGGTTTACATGGAGGTGGCTGGCTGGGGTTGGGTGGGACATGACTAAATTTAACAGAAAATGTAATGGTAGAACCAAAGCAACGATTAATAAAGAGTTGGGGACCATTTAAACGAATAATTTAGTTTATGGACCAAAATGTAAATCGGGTACAAATTTAAGAACCATTTGAGTAATTTACCCTTTTATTTTAAAACTATTTTAAAAGGAATGAAATTTTAATAATTTGTGGGGCTCTACACATTTTAACCATATTTAAATTTTTTTTTTTTAACTGTCAAAAGTCTTATTTACCTCCACAAATGTAACTTGTACAGCTCACATGACTAAATTTAACAAAAAAAATGTAACGGTAGGACCAATGGACCGAATAATATAGAGTTGATGGACCATTTAAATGAACAATTTAGTTGAGGGACTAAAATGTAAATCGTGTAAGGACCATTTGAGTAAATAACCCTATAGAATAAATTTCTATATGGAGAGAGAGAGAGAGAGAGAGAGAGAGAGAGAAAAGAAAAAAAGGAAGACAACGAAAGAAGAAACTATTCTTGGAATTTTATTATATATTTCTGCTTGTTCTTGTTGTTATATGGCCACTGTTTAATACCAAGGAAATATTTGTCAATAATTCTATAGAATCAACCTTAACCCTCAACACATAGACGTGAATTGTCAAATGGAAAAGAACCACTAAACCTACTTAATTAAGGACCAGTTTAATCTTAATCTTGGAATTACCCTAATGCCAAGTCCTTCCTGAAACTATGCTCTTTTGCCCTCCATTATGCAAAGAATGATCAGATTTTATCGACAATATGAATACATGGGAAATCGAATATAACTTGAAGATAAAATTAATCACACAACCCAAAACACTGTGGCGCAAGCCGAGCTAATCACTTATTGTTATGTGTTTTAACTTTCCCACATGGCAATGCAACTTTCCAAGCTCCACGGTGGCATCCATATGTTACATCTAAGTTCTTCTCCTAAACTAAGCTCCATGACATTACTACTTCTCAAGCTCAAGTGGCAATTATGTCACCGATTCTTCTGGTTCTGAGAAGAGCAAATGCATTAATCAAACTTTAAGGGTCTGTTTGTTACACAAGCTTGGCTTATACTAAATTTAGAACCATATTTATTTCATTTAATCCTAGTCTTAGATGGGATTGCTAATACCGGGCCCACCAAAAACACCTTAGGAGGGGACTACTAAACCATGTGGAAAGGGAGGATTAACTATTAAATTCAAAGAGACGGGCCAGCGGCCCACTACTAACAACCCGATATTGTCCCCAACTTAACCACCTACAAAGCCCAGTAGGTGTGAGGTTTTATTACAAAAGGCCTCGGTGTTATTAGGAGTAGAACCACTTATTATAAGTTGTAGTTTATTTATGGGTAAATTACTCAAATGGTCCTCAAATTTGTACCTGATTTACATTTTGATCCATAAACTAAATTATTTGTTCAAATGGTCCACCAACTCTTTATTAATCGGCGCTTTGGTCCTACCATTATATTTTCTGTAACAATCAGTCAATCAACCAGCTCTGATGCCATGTTAAATTTTAGAGAGATGGACCAGCGGCCCATTGCTAACAACATCGATATTGTTCCCCAACTTAACCACCTACAAAGCCCAGTAGGTGTGATATTTTATCATAAAAGGCCTCAGTGTTATTAGAAGTGGAATCACTTATTATAAGTTGTAGTTTTTTTAGTCAAGTTTCCGATGTGGGACTCATATTCTTTAACATATAATTACACACATATTAATATATATCTCACCTGAAAAAGCTTTCTCTAGTAGTACTTGTTCTCCAGCTACCTCAACAGTCTCTGCATTTCTGTAGCAGAAGCTTACCGCAAACAAGCAGAACTAGAGCCCCAGAAGAGGTCCTTGGAAAGCAAGACGGGTCTGCATTGAAAACCCTTCTAATGCTGCCACTTATAAAAGTGCTTAATCCAACTTTTAAAAGTTGGTTAAGCTATAGCTTGTTATAAATAGTAAGTTAGAGGAGCTGTTTAGCAGGCTTAGGTCTGCTTTCACTTAATTA